ATGTCTCATGGAGTTGCTGAAATCATGTGGATAAGAAATCTGTTAGGAGAACTGGGTTTTACAGTTAGCAACCCTATGTCACTCTATTGCGACAATAAGGCTGCTATCAATATTACAGCTAATCCAGTCCTCCATGATAGAACGAAACACATTGAAGTGGACAAGCATTTTATTAGAGAGAAACTTGTAAGTGGAGAGATGTGCACCCCATATGTCAGCTCAGAAGAACAACTTGCTGACATCTTCACCAAAGGCCTTCATCATGTGTGGCATAATGATTTGTGTGACAAGTTGGCCATGATTGACATCTATGCTCCAACTTGAGGGGGAGTGTTGAAAGTGTTAAAATAATTGATTTTATGTTTGTTAGGGTCTGTTTGGCTGATTAAAGCCTTTTTTATTTTAATCTATTATTGTACTATCACTTAGTAGGGGCACAAGGGCCATTTCCCTTATTTTTTCGCCCTATATATTATAATGAAATTGGCGCCGCCAGTACTATTCCATTGCCTCAACACTTCTTCCTTCTCTTCTCTTCTCTCCTCTTCTCTCCTCTTCTCTTGTTGTAACCTTCAATCAGATTTACTGTCAAGAAGCTATTAACTTGACATATGTCCAATTCATCCCTGCTAGCTTTGTAAAATGTTTGGTCTGACTCTCTCTCTCTCTCTCTCTTATAGATAGATAGACAGATATCAATATGGCTTTCTCTTAAACTACTCACTCCCCATAATTTAGTTGAATTAACTCCTGGCTCAGTTTGGGAAGAGTGCAAATACAAATATGTTCAGTGCGAAACCTTGTAAACAGTATTTCTAAACCTTGTATTTGCACTCTTCCCAAACTGAGCCCATGGTACTAAATTATGTTTTTTCTTAGTAAATGCACTTTTTATTAAAGTGCAACTCATAAAAATTAAATTTTAATCATTGAGTAGTTTGACTATAGTCCTATTAAATAATATGTGCTTTCAAATAAAGTGAATATCCTGAGTTAGATTACTAATCTACTGTCCTTTCTAGTGGCAAACAGAAGTCTCAAGTCCATCAATGGTTGCCTATTAACCAAATGTTAGAATAATTGTAATCGAAACCATGCTTCTTTCTGTTTTTTTCTCAAAACTGTTGGTTAATCAAGTAACCCTTCTTGTTGTGAATAATGAGAAAGAAGGGAAAAGAGAAGCTAGAAGAGAAGAGAGAACAAGGATAGAGTAGGTTGTTTGGTCTAATAATTCAACATGCCAATCTGTCTCTCTAATGAAGTCTCCATATAATATTAAAATTACCCAAAATTACAACTCCCCCTGTGAAGCTGATATTACATAAAGTTCCTGAATATAATTTTCTTCATAAAATATCTTCATTCCTCATTTACATAAAGTTCATGATATTGCCTCTTAATAGAATATCAGGAGGTTCTGCAATGTTCTTCACTATCTTTTCTTTTCTTTGGAAACTTATTAAGTAAGATATCCATGTTATTCATCAATTTTCATGTATAATAACTTCTCTGTTGCATTTTTTAGATCCTACATGGATTATTGAAGATTATAACAAGCCAACCACCATGCTCAGTGATAGCACAATGGAATGCTGGGTGGATTCTGCAGAAGTTATTAAGTTGTCAAGAAAAGAATCTTACTGATCATGAACTTGATCTTTTTAATGTAAGGACTTACATGATATGCTATTTTCCTTGTATTTATCCAATTTATTTTTTTCTCCTAGTTATACTTATTTACGTTCCTTTCGTTAGTGTAAGACTGTGGACTTATAAAACACCATAATCCCGGTTGACCCAACTTGAACTTGAACCAAGTCATCCCTGTCCAAATTAGTATAAAAATCAGGCCATTTGACCAGTGATTGACCACTGGCAACTTAAACCAACTTAACATTAGAAAATTCTAGAATAGTTATTAATGAAATAAAGTAATATATGAAAGGTACGGGCTCCCAAATAGGCCGGACCTGGATTCTCTCTCTCTCCCTGCAACTAACATGGAATCATCACCATTTCCTCATACCTTCGAAGGTTTGACCACTGCCTTTCTGGAGTCCACGAGCTTATAGTTAGATAGTTTCAAATATTTTCATTTTAGAAGATCCAATTCTTGATGACCTGGATCTTACATGCTTGAGACTTTTAGTTCTAAAACAAAAACTTTGGAAGTGATATATGAAGGCAAAAAAAATCATTGCTACTGTCTCTTTTTCTTTGTTTTTGAGTGCTATAAATACAAAAAAAAAACCCTTGCTACTCCTTTAAGTGTATAGTAGCACATTGCAGGAAAGGTCATGATGATGTTGAACAGGGGGAACAACCCCCTCAAGAAGATGCTGAACAGCCTCAACTTAGAAGGTTTACAAGAGTACATCAGTTGTCAAGAAGGTATTTCACCTCAGAGTATGTTCTAGTCATTAATGAGGGGGAGCCAGAAAGCTTTCGATCTCACCAAGACAAAGGCAAAAGGGTTAAGGCTATGCAAGAAGAAATAAATTCCTTGCATAAGAACAACATTTATAAGTTAGTGGAACTTTCTAATGGTAGAGAGGCATTGGAGAACAAATGGGTATTCGAGATCAAAAGAGATGGTGATAAGCAAGTGAAGTACAAGGCTTGTTTGGTAGTGAAAGGCTTTAGTCAGAAGAAAGGAATTGATTTTGACAAAATCTTCTCATCAGCTGTGAAGGTGTCCTTCGTTCAAGTGGTTCTAGATCTAGTAGCTTGCTTAGACCTAGAGATTGAGTAGTTAGATGTCAAGACTGTTTTCCTTCGTGCTGAACTCATTGAAGAGATATACATAGAGCAGCCATAAGGTTTTCAAATAAAAGGAAAAGAGCACTTGACTTTTGTAGAGAACACTGATGTGGGCCCCACAGCTATGGTCCCACTGTGTTCGTAGGGTAGAAGATGTTCTAGTCTGCCTAGGGTTAGCTATTGGTCATTTAGTTGTTTCAGTTGTTATTTATTTCAGTCTTATTATTTGCTCTATTTGTTATGTAAAGACTAAGGGCAGATCT